GAGCATAACCACTTCACGGTTTGTCGCGTAGTTACAAGCTCCCTAGAAACATCACAGCCTTGTTGGGAAACTGCAGAGACCAACCTGCCGGACAATTGGTTTATTTTCGCTCAGATGATCATCGCAACTTCGCCGACCGTACCAAGGTTTGGGCTGTGTGTACGTATCACACAATTTTTGGGATCATCAACATGCCCAAAGCGTTAGCAAGAGAATGAGGTGCATGAAACTGTGATCGATCGATCAGATGCATTGATCTTCGTGCAGATCGGTGGTGATGGCTTGCATCTTCAAAGCACACGTGTTTTTGGGTGCTAGGCCAAAATCCCAAACAGACAGCCAACGGTCACATCACATACACGTAGAAAGCAGCTATGGAAGCCGAACTGTCTCTGGTGGGACCTCGTGGGCTTCGATCGTTTCGATTTTGATGAACCAAACAGTATCGCGTGCTTCGCGCGGTCTGAGGAATAGAATCATGTCACTGCATTTCGGCCCTGATCTACCTAACGGAAGGTGTGGAAAGGTCCCGCGAATGTTGGCTTTGCAGTCACCGAGCCAGAGTCTGTTTTAAAAGTGTGGTTTTGGGTTTTTACTGTGGGTGGGAAGCTGTACACGAACGACCAGAGCTGCTACTGGTCATCCTTCGTAGTTCGGTTTCCAATGCAAACGGACGTTCACAAGTGCGCTTCTTCGACAGCTCTGGGGACCGATAGGAGAATAAAACGTCTCCCCAAACATACAGCGGTTGTGTTTGGTCCGTGAGCTGGGCACAAGGGATGCACATGTAAACGTCGTTGAAATCATGCACCATGCGTTCACCTCACGATCAAAGACGGTGACTAACGTATAATCAATACTCGACAGGTCTACAGAAGCACAGTGGTCGACTGAACTCCGAAAGTGTAGTGTGAAGGAACAAAGTGTTGTTCACGGAATGCACTTTTCACAGGCTTCTTGAAAACTCTTGGATACAACCGGCTTCATGTTTCATGGGGCTGATCAGGCGGAGTTCCCGAGTTGAAGTACGTTCAACCGGGATTCAGTTGAGTTTATCTGGTCCGAAAACAAGCATGTTTCCCCAAACAGATAGATAAACTTTCGTGTTCAGCCAGACTGAAGGTAACTCGGGGTAACCGCATCTACCTAGACAGAGCAGCGAACATCCATAAAACCTGGGCTGTCAACGTTCTCCTCGATGGCACTCGTACGAAGTTAAACAGGAGGCGAATAATTCAGTTGAGTCACTGGTTAACGGCACTTTAATTAGCGAACAAGTGTATTTCGCCTATTAATATTATTAAATTCCCCACACTTTCCTTTGTTACGTGTACCCGCAGATCGAACTTTTTCATTCTCACAGCGGAATATTTCCAGTAGGGGCTGTAAACAACAGAGGTTGTACGGCAGTGGAGCATCGGTGTTGAACACCGATGTCATGCTGTCGATGATGATGATGTACACAACAGATATTGCCAATTGCTCTCGAACAGCCTAAACTTCCCTGTTAAACAGGAGGCTTCACAAGGGACCTTCGGTGTATTGCTGAAAAGTTTTGCGACCCGAATTGACTACCGTCAGTTGTTCGAGAATGGCAAACTTTGCCGTTTACCTTTGTGAACCCATTTGTCTCCCATCTTACATCAGAATGCTCGAAATTACAACGTTGTTTCCGGTCACATAATCAGCAGATGTGATAAGATTCGATCACACTCTGCTCAAACGGAACTGATGCGCCCATTTAAAATCATTCAAACCGGTTGTGCTTGTTTGCATAAAGTTCCGATTAGCCAGTGCGTACAAACTGGACACGGAAAATTGAAGAACGAAGGGAAAGGTAATAAAAAAAGACCCGTATTTGAGCAGGAATATAAAGTTGAGCGATTAGCCGATGAACTGTTCCACATAGCTTGGAAAACTACACAACAGCACATACCAATGTTGGAATTCCAGACCCATACCTCATCTGTTGTATTATGCATTCCAGCTACATCATTAATCGCCCATGCGCGATAAATGCGACCCGAGTGAAATGAGATGTAGAACTGGACTAAGAACTGTGAATCGATTAGTCCATCGGTGCACTATCAAGGTCTGATTATAGGCTTTGCAATGTGTTGTGACTTGTTAACGATCATGCAACCCTGTGTCGGTCCCTTGGCTTCCTGCTCCGCCCACTATGGTATATCAAAAGGCACGGCAGCTCTAGACAGCCCGTCATGGAAACAAAGGAAAATTATTCCAACTGTATTTATGGGCTAATAACAGTGTCCCACAAGGTCGAGCCAGAATCTCCGTGAGGGGGCGAGGAGCGTCGAGTCAAAGATGCCCGATCCGGAATGGTTGGTATTCTGACCCATCAGAGCATGCCTCCGTTTGGTCCTGCATGTGACACATCCGTCCAAATGATGTGATGTTCGGTTATTAGGAACGGCTGGACTTCGGACGCAATGTGTGGCCGTTAGAGTAAACATGATAAATGCGATGCCTATCGCCCCGTCATGAACTATCTAGCATGAATTCCACGGCTCCAATGCCGATATGATGTTTTATGTTTGTCTCGAGTTCCCGTAAAGCCCATGATGTTAAGATAGCGGGCATCATCAATCTTTGTGTTGTGAGCTTGACTGGAACAACATCTCTTAAAGTTTTCCGCTGTTTTAAATCGATTTCCCAAATTATCTCATCTACTTTGCACATAACATCACGGAATTCTTCTTGTGAGTCCTGTACCGGCGTTTTCATTCCAGTCCACTCCGAACGCAAAACAAAGGCGTACATAATCATAGACACCACAAATGTGACGGGGTCTATGGTCAATACAATATTCCCAACTACAAAGAAAGATTACTGAGCAGGAGACGACTTTGGCGGCGCTGAATTTTTTGTAGCGCAAGCTCCTCTCGAAGAAAGTGATTTGATAAAAATAGAGTGGACACAATTCCTGGTTCCCAAAGTGAACTGTTCATGCCTCAACAGGGAACGTCGGATTCGAAACGCCCCAAGTCATCAACCATATGTTATTCTCACGGTTGTCGTAAGCAGTGCTGATACACCGTCGTTGTTCGGCTGTGACACCTTTTTGGTGCCTAGTTGCCATGCCACCCGAAGGAAGCACGAGGGGTGAGGCACTGCCAGTCCACAAAGGAGTAGTCGGGATGCTGGCAGTGGACCGCGGATTCGTGCCTTAACCACTGGACTATCTCGAGCTGATAAACTGTACCGTCACATTAGACGTTCGGCTCTAGTTGGAACAATTCGGGTAGTATTCTATCTGAGCCAGGTGCTGAGATGAACGTACAACGCCATACCTCGGAAACATTCACTAAGACACCAATAATTAGACTAGTTCCATTTTCGTTATGGGCCAACCTCTCCGTAGTTTTTATTAGGGCCAATCGAGTACAGTGAGGCGGATGGAGGGACCGCTATGTAATATACAATTTCATTAAGCTGCCACGATTGCTGATCCACTATTGTGTGTCAAGTTCAAACGAAACCAAATATCACGTGGTGTACATTCATACGACTTGTCTAAAACACCCGGATACAGCAAAAAATTACATCTGTTTGGTGCAAAGCGATTGATGATGCGAGCACACAGAGCCCGTTGACCATTGATGTGCACTGTTGTACATCTCCACATCATAGCTGAATGTGCCGGAGAGTACGAGGAGGGCGTCAGGGTCCGATCGCAGATCACCCGATGCAAACCGATGTTGATGCTACGAAAGCCATCACTGGGAGGAGTAGTATCACAAGACTAGGTTTTCACAGATTAAGCGGGAGAATGACAAGTGACATGCGAATTTCGACAAATAGGCTCATCTGCATACCAATTTGGTTTTTACTGGGGACTCAACCGAGTCCCAGCAGAATCTCTCGTTTAGGATGGCTCACTTCAACTGAATGTACTGCACTGCCTGTGGCACGACATCTGAGATATCGCAATACATTGCACAGACGTAACACACTACTCAAACAAGGGCAAAACCGACTGTAGGCTTTCAAAGAATTTTCAGCAACCCTACGAGTAGTGTGTCACGTCTAAACGTGTGAATTTATTCCTCTAGATGGAGAATGCAGGGATGTTACTCCAAGAGGGGTTGGCCCTCATATTGTAACGGGACACCATGAACCTAACGCGACCCACCAGAAATGGTCACTGTGAATGAACGCCGAAAACTACGGTGCTCCTTGGAATGTGAAATCTCACTTAAGTTGAAAATTTATGATTCCTAGAAATTAACGATTGTTTTGGGTTACTTTTAGTTATACCGCCGCTCCATGTTGATTACTTGGTAGCTCAGTCGACATATTGGGAGGGTTTGTGTGTGTGTGTGTGTGTGTGTGTGAAGGAGTCCGATGTTTTCATCCAATTCTAGCGCACACACCACGGCGCTTCAACAACCGACTGGGCGAGGGAGAAAAGTGTATCAAATTAACAAACAACGGAAAGGATTTCTGAAGAAAAAAAACAATCGCGTGCTCTGGCAAGAATTAAATTACCAATTGGATGTAACTGAAATAAACTAGTTAGTCATATTAATTGTAACTAGGATGGTTTGTGTAAGTTAGCAGTACCCAGTAAGTGGAGCACCGGACACATGCAACGTGAAAACTGTTCCCAGACTGAGGAGTGTTCACGTCAGTACGATCTATTGTAATGACATCAGGAAAGGAACAATAATAAGATCCCATTCAGGCTCTAAATCTGTTCAGAAAAAGGACAACTATCGATTCGCTTCCGTCAGCTGCGAGCCAATCAGATCGAGTCGTTAAAGGGTGGCGTCCAATCACCGAACAGCTATTGTGCAGCCCGGAGCAAGCGTGGGACCCAAGTTGTTGACAGGTACCTCGACCAAGACAGACGCGAATGGGGAGTTAGAGGTAGATACTAGTCATCTCATTCTTTCTTCTAGGTACATTTATATTTTTCCTAAATCCATGCATGCGTTAGACCCGCAAATTGCACTCAAATGACCGCTTGATCTACTCACCCGTTTTCGCAGCGTCGCCAACTCCTTGTTGGCCAATTCTGACCCCGGTTCGGAGAATAGGCACTTTAACATGTAGTTGGCCGGTTCCTTAGATCTTCGGTGCCGCAGAGCACAAATCTCAGCATACAGCGCGTTCAGTTTCGCTTTCAGCTCTTTCATCGGTTTCTAGAGATACACAGAGAACAGTAAACATGGTCAACCAGAAAGCACAAGACACACAACTGTGGATTATGGGGCATACAGAGCACAAACTTCTCTTAGGCCATGATACAGTTCCGGAGTGTGGAGGGACGGGAGATCGCAAGATGTCTCCCATTATAACATCTGAATAATCGGCTTTTAACAGAAAAAGAGGAAAAACCATGCTGAAAATATCCGTTATTCACTAGAAGAGAGCACGTGCATCTTTTTCAAAGCAATGAATCAACTTGCGAGTGAAAAATCACACAGTCCTCTATGACCGGACATCTTTCCGTTGAAGGCTATCAAATGGATCTCACCACAGCAGTTACTAACCTGCGTCGTCGCAGAAACCCACGCATTCTGAGGTTTACCGAGGTGGTTGCAATTAATCAACCAAAGTCTTCGTTTGCTATGTTCAAAAGCAACTTGGTGCGATCGATTAGCTGTCTTCGTGTCGTAATACTACCGAATGAAGAACGAGGGCTGGGATACTGCAAGGTTGTCCAAGCCTTGACAGGAAAAGTCGAGAGGCAGAGGTTGGATTCGAACCACGGACCTTCCGGTCAGTAAATTCGCGCTCTAACCAGTTGAGCCATCTCGCAATGCTAGTCGGCTAACTTACCCAATCCATAATCATCTGATAAACTTTGTTTTCAAAGTTGATAAGAAACCTAGTTTTCGACCAGAGGATAGGAAATGATTGCATCTACCAGTCAACGTGCTCTCCCTGTGTTATTCAAGCGTTCAAAGTAAAATAACTGCTTTCGACTGAGCTGTATGACTAACGATCACTCGAAAGATGATAATCCCTGAGTGATTAGAATGGAACAGGCTAGAGACCAGGGAGAGGCCATTCCGTGAAGGAGTCTGCACCCATGGACCATAGGATCGTGGATAATACAATGCAAATAACTCCTTCCTCGTGGTGGTCCCTCATGAATGGATCACTTACAGTGAGGGTAGCTAATTTTAACCTTAAAGAAAGAGAAGAATGAGCTATCAGAATGGAAAACGGCCAGGTTGTGGAAGGCAAGGATCGAGGTGTTCATCGCAGACGTAAAAAAGCAATTCAACGCAAAACCAAAGACGAAAGCCAGTACCTGGGCGTTTGCATGGTCCGCGACACAAACCACAGACAACTTAGCCTAAACGCACTTGTCAAAGTGGCCATTCGATCAACCCCAAATTTTAACTTCGCCATTTAGCTATTCTCAACACACGGACTCCTGTGTAGGATGAAAAACAATGACTGGGCAAATCCTGAGCTTTAGTCAAACCAGACTACCTGAGGTTATGCACTAGTATCACCGAACCTTTCTACAGGGCAGCAAAGGACAGGAAATAGCAACAGAAAGGTCAGTTCGCGAGGGTTCGAGAGACGAGTTATCAGTTCCTGTTGTTCACACATTTTCAATCTCCGCTTCCACCAAGAGTGAGACACTTGTCCCATCCCCGTCACCAGTTGTTGTGACTTGTTAACGATCGTGCAACTCTGTATCGGTCTGTTGGCTTCCTGCTCCGCCCACTATGGTACAAAAGGCACGGTAGCGCTATACAGCTCTTTATGGAGACAAAGAAAAATTATTGCAACTGCATTTATAGGGTAGTCACAGAGTGTTCGAAGGCAGAATCGCGTGGGGGGAGGGGGGGCAAGAAATGTCGAGTCAAAGATGCCCGATCCGGACTGGCTTGCATTCTGACCAATCAGGACATGCCTTCGTTTGGTCCGTGCCCTGCACGTGACACATCCGTCCAAATGATGTGATGTTCGGTTATTAGGGACGGCTGGCCTGCTACAAATTCAGCTGCGGTGTGCAAGCAGATTGTGAATGTTTCATTACTGCTGATCCAGCTCATTGAGTTGTCCAGATCAAAACGCTTCAGAGGTGGCTAATGAAGTCTGTCTCCTAAACAGAGGTCACCTGCCAAAAGAATATTTTTTTGCCGTAAGACCCTCTCCGAGTGGCTTACCGCATTCCGTTGAAGAAACTAGACAGAATATTTCACAACATCCGGCGGATATGAAGGTCAAGAATAAAGTTGTCTAGTTTGAGCGAGATTCTCAAGAAACCATCACTGTGATGAATCCTTACACGTGAGCTACGCAGATGCAGTCTTGGAAACGTTTGAGCGACAAATCAATCAATTCAATTTATCAGCTAAAAAATAGCTGCTACAGTTTCAATCGCCGGAAAACGGGAAAGTGGACCGTACAACCAAGCCTTGGAGGCGAAGGCATGTTCAGTTTGTTCGGAAATTGGGTAGCTACGCATTGAAGGCGATAGCTTTAATGCACGAGCGCCACTGACTGCGCGATTGGGCCATTTCCGCCAATCGCAATAACCAGGGGTGATTTGAGTCCCTGGGTCCCTATGATATGACTTCGTGAATGGTGTAACAATGCTTGAATCAGCTCATCGAAGCTGAGTATGCCTCCATATGGACTACTACTACTGATTGGAAAATATGTCCTCTATCGATTTCCGTCCAATCGAGGTCAATAAACAGAGTCAAGTTTAGCAGCAATCACATCGTGTCAACCCCCCACAAAGTCAGAAACGGAACTTGAACACGCGGTTTAAAAAATCGCCGCGGATAATCAATACGCAATAGGGGTAGCAACACCCACGTAGTCCCTTGCAGTCCAAACAACACATGCACACACATATGTTCGAAGGACAAAACGTATCACAGAACTAGGCGAAGCCTCGAGAAAGGCTAGTTTCTGCTTCAACTGAGTATCGGGTACACTGCAAGGGCGAGCAAATTAGCAAGCAAGCCAGCCAGTCGTGGCATGGTGCACGTAGGCAGCATGTGCTGTCGGCTATTTTATGGTCGCAGCATGAAAAAAAAGACGGAAAAATGTTAAACCCCTTGGAACCAAATGCGTTGTGTTAGCAACCCCAACTCCTGAACCAAAACAGCAAAGTGCACACCAGGGTACAAAATGCGTTCCAGCTAGCTACGGACATAGTCAGGCAACCTGACTGCACACCCAACCCGTTGCCGTGTAAGAGCACGGCAACAGCTCTTCAGCATACAGTAACCTCGGGGTGAGTGGTTTAGGCGAACCGAAAAGGTAAAAACACTTATCAATAAACAAACAAATCGCAGGCCGCGCAACAGCAACGGCTCAGTGCTATATGGAGAAAACTGGTAGCAGTACAAAACGGTGCTGAAGGGATAGTCGACTGGTCTGTGTACACGGAGTTGTGACATCAAGTCGACCACTAGATAAACCCACTACGGTTGCTTTGCAAGCGGCTTTGGATTCCGAGAATAAGTGTACAGAGACACTCGCTGACTTTCGACTGAGTGAGTGAGTGAGTGAGTGAGTGAATGAGTGAGTGAGTGAGTGAGTGAGTGAATGAGTGAGTGAGTGAGTGAGTGAGTGAATGAGTGAGTGAGTGAGTGAGTGAGTGAATGAGTGAGTGAGTGAGTGAGTGAGTGAATGAGTGAGTGAGTGAGTGAGTGAGTGAATGAGTGAGTGAGTGAGTGAGTGAGTGAATGAGTGAGTGAGTGAGTGAGTGAGTGAATGAGTGAGTGAGTGAGTGAGTGAGTGAATGAGTGAGTGAGTGAGTGAGTGAGTGAATGAGTGAGTGAGTGAGTGAGTGAGTGAATGAGTGAGTGAGTGAGTGAGTGAGTGAATGAGTGAGTGAGTGAGTGAGTGAGTGAATGAGTGAGTGAGTGAGTGAGTGAGTGAATGAGTGAGTGAGTGAGTGAGTGAGTGAATGAGTGAGTGAGTGAGTGAGTGAGTGAATGAGTGAGTGAGTGAGTGAGTGAGTGAATGAGTGAGTGAGTGAGTGAGTGAGTGAATGAGTGAGTGAGTGAGTGAGTGAGTGAATGAGTGAGTGAGTGAGTGAGTGAGTGAATGAGTGAGTGAGTGAGTGAGTGAGTGAATGAGTGAGTGAGTGAGTGAGTGAGTGAATGAGTGAGTGAGTGAGTGAGTGAGTGAATGAGTGAGTGAGTGAGTGAGTGAGTGAATGAGTGAGTGAGTGAGTGAGTGAGTGAATGAGTGAGTGAGTGAGTGAGTGAGTGAATGAGTGAGTGAGTGAGTGAGTGAGTGAATGAGTGAGTGAGTGAGTGAGTGAGTGAATGAGTGAGTGAGTGAGTGAGTGAGTGAATGAGTGAGTGAGTGAGTGAGTGAGTGAATGAGTGAGTGAGTGAGTGAGTGTGATTAACGAGAAAGTATTTGCAAAGACAACCTGAAGAATACTGTTTGAACCTCTCGTCAACAAGGAGAAGATAGGCAACTATGCAGGACATGCAATGAGAAGTGAACCTAACGCTTCATAGAAAGGTTGTCTCTGCTTGCAAAAACCGTTTAAAGCGATGTTAGAAGATAGAAGGTCGTAAGCCAGTTACGTCCTGCAAACACACGCAGACAGTGTGTTTCAGTTCAACCAAGGTCTGTCAAAAAAACAGCAACAACAACAACGGCACGCAACAAAATTGATCAGTTCGAACCGTGATCGGGGGCGCTCCGCCTCCTCATATTTTTCGTAACCAAATACGACTCTGTACTACCTTGTTAGCGCTAGAACAATCAGTCATGTTGACTGTTCTTTTTCTTTCATTTTTACCCAACTAATCGTTACGCGTTATGTTGTTCGGTTACCTGTTACGGTGAGATCGAATTGATGTTGCCGCCAGCTTTGGGTCGAATAGATCAAACGGTTTGAAAACTAAACGACACTAAATTACGCGATCAGAGAGCGAAAAATAGTTGTCTCTCTCTGTGTATACCCGCACGAATCGATTTGTCATTACAAGGACGAATGACCCACAACGGGCCGACGTATTCGTGTCGCGAGCCCATGACGTACATTGAATCGTGTTGCCGCTCACCAGCAGTGGCGTTGTGGATGGCTGTTCACAGAACACATATGCGACTTCCGTTACAAAAGGCGACTCCCTGAGGTGATTGTCAGGGGCCAACGTAGTCGTGTCGCGAGCCCATGACGTACATTGAATCGTGTTGC